AGTGTTTCTAAACTTAATTATCGTTTTCTTGTGAGCTATGAATAACGCTTTTGTCGGAGACACGTGTTTGTTTGGGAATAGTTTTGTTAGTAGCATCTTCTAGTAATATTTATATCAGCATTAACTCGTTATCCAAACCTAACCCTACCCATCCCATAAGGGTTCAGTTATAATTTTTAACGGGTTGGGGTGGGTTGTGATTTTTTTCCAAATTGTCGTAGTTAAATTCAGTTGTGTAAATGTCACAGATCGGCCAACCTAATCAGGTGTACTCTTATTTATAACGTTGCGTGGATTACTTACGTTCTATGAGTCTAAATTGGGCAGGTTATCCACTTTTATAGCAATTAATAAATGTGTGTGTAAAACTCGATCTAGACTAACAAAAGTCACAAACTTATTTCTGTTATTTATTGTTTCTTGGTTTCGGTTCCGCTCAATCCAATCTGCCTTCAACCCCATTGTTAGAGTCCTATATCAGATAGTCATAGCCCATTAAACCTGTATATATGTAGAAACCTCTCAATTTCTTAAAAATGAGTTTCATATATCTTCACATAGTATTAGAGACAGAGGCGGACCTATGAAACCCCGAGTGGGGTCTCATGCACTCGCTAATCGATTTTCGTAAGTAAAAAAAATTGTGGTATGAAAGGCGTGCTCGCTAAATTTGAGGGGTGCTCTGAGATATTAGAAAATACAAGGGGCGTCAACCACAAAACGAAAAAATCTCTCGAAATCAAACAAAAAAATCTAAAACATCCCTCCAAAATGGTGGAATTAGGCTAAGAACACATTGACGATTTTGTGGGCCTTTGATCCACCTTAAAAGTACACACGCTCAGAAAATTCTTGGGTCTACGACTGAGGTTTACCACATTTGTTTGTATCAAATATACCTTGTATCTCATCCTAACCTGCGTTAAAGAGTAGAGATCCATTCTTACGCTTCTCACATTAACTATTCTTTTCATAGGAACCCAACCCAACCCTATATGTGTGGGTGTGGGTGTGTGTAGGGGACCTTATTTTGAAAACCCATGAAATTGTGATAACCTTGAGAACTTGTCCATAATGTATTATTTCATATGATTTTTTTTTCCATGTAAAACTAGGATCTAGAATATTGATTGACATATTAGTTTCACATGTACTCGGTTCACAATGTGAATATTTTTTACGTATTTATGTAACAAAAAATACACGTAAAAAAGTTTTACATTGTGAACCGAATAAATATGAAACAAACACATTGTGAAACAAATATATGTTAAGCAATACATTAAATACTATATTTAGACAAGAAAAAAAAAACATGTAAAACAAAACCTTAGGGTAAAAGTTCTCATAGATCTCATTTTCTCAAATGATTAAGCCCGCATATACATACATATATAGGGTAGGGTTCACGTCAGACCAAGGGTTTTTCGTGAGACCCGTAAGACCAATTTATGTTCATTAATCAACTTTATAAGCTAATGATCTAATGGTCTAAAGTTGTACGGTGATAATTTTGTGATTATTGAGAAGTCTCGTGACGTTTATGAATATTTAGATTGTCAGATTGTAGATCTAATCTAAGGGTTGAGAATTGGTCTTACGAGTCTCATGAAAAACCATTGGTCTCACATGATCCCAAGTCTAGAAATTAGAATGACATGTATTTTTTGTACAATTTGCTTAGAAAACTTTTAAAAGTCCAAAAAATGATGGTGATGTAGGTTTGGTTGCATTGCAATGGTCCCAATAGAATATATATGATATGGGGTGGTCGAATTTGTTACGTATGTCTTAAGCTGGTCCATTTCGGTGGGCTTTTTCGTTAAGACACAGACAAAAGACCCACACGTTGGCATACACACACATGCTTCTCGATGGCTTAATTCTAACTTGCTGCCAAGAAGCTTCACTTCATAAAGGAGCTACACTGAGATGGGTGGTCAAATTGTGCACATTTTTGTTAAGGAAAACACGAATGTAGGCCCGTTAAATTGAACGGTTTTCGAAGACGATTAATGGTAGGTGGTTGACGGTTTACGAGCTTCAGGGAATTTGTGTAAGAGAGTCGAGACGTGCTCGTTGGGATGATACACGAAAGCGGATTCAGATTTTTTTTCTTTCCAAATGAGCGACGAAATTATGACATGATATAAAATAAAATATTATCTATACTATATTATAAAGCATTTGACATAAACTCTTAAAAACCATTTTTTTTATGTGTAAAGTAATGTTTATTAATGCATATTACTTAAAACTCAAGATTACAAGTAGATTGTGCGTAAGTACAACTTATTAAAGCTCCGTATATGAATTCGTGTAACTAACTGCAGATAGACATAATCAAATACAAGATAAACATCTCATTTTAAATATAAAAAATCTAAAATATAACTAGGATAATTATTGCGTTCTAACAGAATACTTAATTATTATCCTTATAAATGTTATATTATTAAACCAAAAATAAATTATTTCATTACCAAACTTAACTTAAATTATAATAAAAAAATAAATTAAAGAAATTACATAAAAATGATAATTTTTAAATAGTTGATTTGATATTAACATTGATATATTTTTCTTCAAATTTATATTTTATTCAAAAATAAAATCATTAATGTTTTCTTAAAAACACATAAAGTCATATTATAACATCGACAGAGACAAATAATAAAAAAGAAAATTAAAATCGAGATGTGTCTCGCTGCATTGCGCAAATACTCTTCTAGTTTAATCATATAAAATAAGATATCAATAAAATTTTAATTATTAAAATTATAGCTCGTGAAAGAGGAACGGGATGTGTTACACCCAGAAGCATATCCAAAAAAATTTGCGAATGGGAGATACAAACAATTAGAATAATATAAAATAAATTAATCTTTTAACTGTATAAAGTACAGTTTCGTTAAGAATGACAAATAAGGTTTTTTTTAACCATAGGTGTTTGGGCTAGTTTGTGTGCACCTCGACTAACCATAGAGCCGTGAAAAATAGATGGAAAAATCCACAATAGCTTTGGGGCGGACTCGAACCTGTGACCTTATTGCTAAAGAGTTATCCCCTAAGCAGTATTCTACAGCAATCGAGTGCTTTTCGTAATTTGGAGAAGCACACATCGAATTAAAGTGGATGTACATTTAAGACTCGTAAAAAAATCCATCAAGTCAAGACGATAGAGTGGTCCCCACCCTCGGGTGGCTATACATGAATCTGCCCTTCATCACACCTCAAAGTCTTGGAATGTTGTATGTTATCGCTAGTAAATGTGGGTAAAAACGTCATGTTAATCTCACGTTACGTAAATTAAAATATATGTTGCTACGATTTGGGAACGATCGGTTTGTATCGAAAAGGTTTCGAGATTTATTTTTCAGAGAAAATGTTTGAACCATGTTTTTTTTTTTCCCAATTTCTTGTTCCGGCAATAAATAAAATTCACTGTCGGTATTTAATTATCATTTCTCTTTTATAACTCAAAATTGATGGTACGAGTCTCGAACTTAACCATAAATAAATCTAATTGTAGCCCGAGTAATACGACTCCGCTTGAAAGATCTTTAACCCTCGTTGAGTTTATTAAATTTTCTAGCAAAATTTCCTAAAAGAATTACATGACGTGTTTGGAGCGTTGTCGGGATTTCTTGTCTGGATTGTCTTTTGGTTGCGGTATTGACTTTCGTCTTCCGGTTGATGCATTTTTGTGGGTGTTCTCCTGTTGTTTGGGTGTTGTGTTTTTCGATCCCGTTTTGTTTAGTCCTTTGTTTGTTTTGAGGATTTGGGCTCTCTTTATAGTAGACTTGGGGGCCGTTTACCAAACGCTTACTTGAGTAAGTGAACACCAAGTCACATTACCTTACCGGATGAATATGGTAGGGACCAAGAATCTTACCCGGTAAGTGCGAGACAAGTACCAAGAGTCTTACCAGGTAAGTGAAGACGACGATTCTTACCACGGTAAGCGCTTACCAGGTAAATTGTTACATACGACATCGTTTTAGTGGACTAAAATCCTACCCGGTAAGTAAATGATAGTGTTAAATTTCACCAGTAAGCGCTTACCGGGTAAGTATTTGGTAAACGGCCCCTTGGGATTGTTTGAGTGGTTTTCCATTAACTCATAGATGGGTAAAGCGCTATATATGGATTAACTTGTTATATAACTTGATTTTTTTTTTTTTTGTAGGAGAGTTTTCTCATAGATGAAATAAACTTGTTTTTCAATTGGAATGACTAGGTTTGGAAAAAGACTTGGTTTTTTACATTGAGTTATTTCCTAGAAGCTTAATGAATAAGTCATTTTCTATATCATTACATCATTGTCAAGTGTCAAATAGTCATATACAATTAACCAAATAAGTTGTGAGTTTCATTAAGCTAACTAATATACTAACAAACAAGCACCTAGTTCGTTTGGTTCTACATCTTGAATATCGCTCATTTAATTTAAATATAATATTTAATGTATTGATTAACATATATATTTGTTTCACAATATTAAATTCTTTTATGTGTATTTTTTGTTTTATAAGCACGTCAAAAAGGTTCATGTTATGAACCGAATACATGTGAAACAAATATATGTTAATTATTATATTAAATTCTAACCATATATTAAAAAAATCATATAAAACAACAAATGATACACTGATTTTTAATAGTTTCATAATTTAAAGAGCTATGAGAAGAAGGTCGACTTCGACATCATATAATAACTCTTAGTACCCGTACTTACGATTTGGTTTGGCTTGCCATGAATGACCACCATTGATTTGGATATCGAAGTCTTTATTTTTCCTGATCCATTTCAAGGCTAACCTACCAACCAAATGACAACCCCAAAAAATAGAGTTGACATTTAATGATTATCACTAGAATAATATGAAAATTCAGCCGTAGATTTATTATTTCACGACAACAGAGTTGATAAAATCAACGATTTAATTCAATAGTTTCTATTATATGCATCATCTAATCTTATGGATATACTTGAATATGGATTGAAGTATTCGATCTTTTCATTATGAAATAACAAAATCAAACAGAATCATGATTAATTTTGAGGAACAACGGTTGAATTTGATAAATCGGACATGTCCGTTATCAAAACTCGGATCCTTGAGCTTGATCGTCAGGCAAAACACGAAATCTAAGCCAATCGATCATGCTTCCAGGATTATGAACAGAGGTCATCAACGTTGATTGTTGCATAAACAGCAACGACGAGACGATTGTTGTATGGAAAACAAGTTCATCTCATCGTTGCTGCTTGAAATTTGAGAAGAAGAATCGTCTTCTGGTTTATGTAATCGGAGATAAACAATCATAATTTTTCTTAACCGACTGTAAATATCCAAAATTCTTCGATACAGTAACAATTCATATCTTCCTCTGTTAACCTGACTCGTTCTCCACCTCTAGCCGCCACCGCTAGTACTCAAATCTCCCTTTGTACGGTCCTTAAACTCTAGAACTTTCCTTCAACCTCCACCGGTTGCGTGAAATCACCTTCAATTCCGCCAATCACCGCCATAAACGGAAGAGCTCATAATTCACATCGAAAATATCAAAATCTTCTGTATCTTTACTAATCCGATTGCTAACATGATCAATCAGAAACGGAATGATTGTTCCAACACAAGAGCATAGAAACGCACCGTCGGAGTATGTAGAATCTGGTTCTCTCCTGCTTCGCCATGGTCAAACACCGCTTCTGGAAAGTAGCTTTCCGGCGAATTTGCCGGCGATAATCCGTCGACGATCGGAATAAGTAGGAATAAGTATCCATGAAGTATGTGAGAGAGAGAGAGAGAGAGAGAGAGAGAGAGAGAAAGAGGGGTTAGTTGAAAGGAAATCGGATAGAATTCGTTAAGGCTTCTGCGGACGCTAAAGGTCGATCGATGGGTTTATATAGTGCAAATGTCATGCTGCAAAAGTGGGGTCCACACGAAAATTTCGATTTTTCTACATGTTTTATTCGCTTTTGTGATGTGGAGGCACTGCCTTTTGAACCAAAATTTGTATTGATATACATGTTTTGTCGACCTCATTTATTTATGAATGTTGTATAAATAAAGATACTGATATATATATACATATATATATGAGTTATTATATAATTTTTTATATTTGTATAACCAATACAACTCAATTTTAATCGTTCATTTAATTTGATAAATATGTGATTTTATAAAAAATTTGATTGTTTCTTAATATAAAGTATTAATCATAATTAATGAACTCTAGTCATCTTCCATAAATATTCAAATTATAATAATGAACTCTCATCATTTTCATTGGTATCTCAATTAATCGGGTTGCATTGGTTATACAAATGAACATGGTTGCGTTTGAAATATATTCTATATATATCTATATCCTATATATATATATATATATATATATATTAGAAGGGAAACTCGTGCAATGCAGTGAGATAAATATCGATTTTAATGTTTAGTTTTTATTCTGTCTTTATCGATATAATATGATTTTATGTGGTTTTGAGAAAATAATAATGTTTTTATTTTTTGAATGAAATATAAATTTGAAAATAGCATAAAAATTAAAAAAATAAACCGTTATTAGTATCAAATTAACTATTTAATAGTTCTTGTTTTTTTGTGTAATTTATTTAATTCAATTTTTATTATAACTAGAATGGTACTCTTGCAATGCATTGAGACACATTTCGATTTCAATGTTTTGTTTTGTTTTTTTATCTACGTCGATATAATACGATTTTATGTGATTTTAAGAAAGTTATAATGCGTTTATTTTTTAATAAAATATAAATTTATAAATATCATATAAAATTGGCAAAAAATATATCAATATTAATATCAAAACTATTTAAAAGTTCTTGTTTGTGTAATTTTTTTAATTCAAAAATTTTATTAAAATTTAATTTATCATAACAAAGTAACTTAATTTATGTTTAATAATATATATTTTTTATAAAAATAATAATTAAGTATTCTGTTAGAACTCGATAATTATCCTAATTATATTTTAGATTTTTTATATTTTGAAATGAGATCACTTATTTGATTATGTTTATCTGAAGTTAGTTACACGAATTTAAACATAGAGCTTTAATAAGTTGTACTTATGCACAATTTACTTGTAATCTTGAATTTTAAGTAATATGCATCAATAAACAATATGAATGGTCGAGATCACTTATAACTCAAGAATTGCAAGTAGATTGTGCATGAGTACAACTTATTAAAGCTCTATATCTGAATTCGTGTAACTAACTGCATATAAACATAATCAAATACAGGATAAACATCTCATTTTAAAATATAAAAAATCTAAAATATAATTATAATAATACTAAACCAAAAATAAATAATTTCATAATTAAACTTAAATTAAATTATAAAAAAGAATAAATTAAATAAGTTACGTAAAAAAATAGGACTTTTAAATAGTTGATTTAATACTAATTTCGCTTATTTTTAAAAAAAATTATAATATTTCATTTAAAAATAAAAACATTTAATTTTTTTCAAAACCACATAAATCGCATTATAACATCGATAAAGCCAAAATATAAAATAAAACATTAAAATCAAGATGTATCTCACTATATTGCACGAGTATTTTTCTAGTTTTAAATAAAAAAATGGTTATTGATATTGGTCCCACAAGAAAGATAATGTCAAAAATTGAATTTATCAATTAATGTCCACAAACCACCAAAATAAATGTAACATCGTACATTGTATCTGCGTGTAATATAACTTTTTTTTACACAAATAGTAATTTTCATGTCATCATACTCTTACCAAAACCTGTTTTATTATAAATTGTCTTTAAAACGAGAGTCATATAAGACAGTATTCCAATATGATATATCAAATCAGATTTACAAAATTTTGGAGTCAGAAGTTAGAGAAATTACTCAAAAATTATTATTGATACACTGTACGCTAACAAAATGACCGTTTTTCAGAGATTTTTCACAAAATGGCCATCAAAATCGCCTCTGGAGGGCGGTTTTGACTATAAAGTATGAATAGGTCCCACATGTATATTATTTGGGAAACACAAATTGAATATTATATCTGATATATCTATGAAATCACCCTCATTTCGTCCAAATCGCCATGGGGGGATTTTGACCTCTATTCTATCTTATAGTGAAGATAAGTCATGACGCAACGATTTAACATATCAATGACGATTTGACGAGACATTGGGGAAGATTTTCATTTGTATTTTGTTTTTTTAGGACCAAATGTAGTGTGTGTGTGTGTGTGTGTGTGTATATATATATATATCAATCTTGTAGTATTCACTATAAAATTGTAGCAATCCAAACACTTCTACTCTTACAACCCTTAACCTTAAACACAATCTACCTTCACAACCCTTAACACAAATATGAAATCACGTCAAAGTGATAATGGTTTCATGTATGTTCAAAGTAACGGGTTAATGGTTGTGAAAGTAGAAATGTTTTGATCACTACAGTTTTATAAAGAATGCTACAAGATTTATATATATTACATTTGGTCATAAAAAAAACAAAATACCAATGAAAATACCTTCCGATGTCTCGTCAAATCGTCATTGATGTATTAAATCGTCGCGTCATAAGTTGTCTTCACTAGAAGACGAAATAGAGGTCAAAATCGCCCACATGGGACGATTTTCAGTTTTTGAGAGCGATTTGCCCATTTTCAGATATACTATCTGTTTTTTGTCCACCAAATGGTATACACGTGGGACTCCGTACCTTATAGTCAAAATCGCCCTCCAAGGGGATTTTGATGGTCATTTTATAAAAAAGTTTTAAAAAGTGGTCATTTTGTTAATGTACAATCTACAAAATGATTATTTTGGTTAATTTCCCATCAAATTGTACATATTTTAGTTGTTACCCAATTAAATACGTCGCAACCTTTGGGTAAAGTATAAAGTTATAGATTTTTACTGTTTAAGTGAATTTCATAATGTAATATGTCGTTTTAAAACATTTTTATTGTTTAATTTGTAATAATATTTTCAACAGATTTTTTAAAATAGAGATTTTAAACAAGTTTCTTGCTTCAACAAATGATTCAAAATGAGGAAAGTAAGGGGGTGTTTGATATTGCTTATAAAAACAATTTATTGACTTATTCTGGTGTGACACCGTCAATAAGCACTTTTGAGTATTTGGATAAATAACTTATACCTGTAATAAGAAGTTTTTGAAAAAGTTAAACATTTATAACTTATAATAAGTTGACAAGTGATTTTATAAAAAAACATAAGTTTTTTTTTCCAATAAGCAATCCAAAACATCCCCTAAGAGAGGATGTGTACAATTTTTCAAAATTGGATAACCCCCAAAAAATGATTATTATGATAGAGAAACATTTTTTTCCATTCCAATTAAAATAAAAAACTCTAAAATTAAATATTTAGGAAAGAGAAAATAATATTTTATTCAATATATTATATATTTAAATAATACAAAGAATGTTGTAATTTTTAAAATAAATAATTTTGGAGATTTTGTATTTTAATTCTTTATTTTAGAGAATCTGTTGAAGATACTCTAAGTTTTTATAATATAACAGTGTTTGTTTTATTTATTGGAGCATTTTCATCTGATTTATTAAAATGATGAATCAAAAGTCAAAGCTCTCAAAGAAAAGTTTATATTCATTTTTAACAGCTTCTCCATTTTAGAGATTACAATATGAATTATATTATTAGAAGTTGTCTTTTAATAGAACTATTAAGAGATAGACAAACCACCTCTCATTCTAATCTATACTATATTATAAAGCATTTGACAAAAATTATTAAAAAAACATTTTTATGCATTAAGTACTGTATATTAATGCATATTACTTAAAATTCAAGATTACAAGTAAATTATGCATAAGTACAACTTATTAAAGCTTCATATTTGAATTCGTGAAACTAATTGTGTATAAATATGATCAAATAGAGAATAAACATCTTATTTTAAAATATAAAAAAGATTTAGGATAATAATCGAAATCTAACAAAATAATTAACTATTATCCTTATAAGAAAATTACATTACTAAACCAAATATAAATTACTTCGTTATTGAACTTAAATTAAATTATAATTAAAAAATTACATAAAAATAAAGAATTTTAAATAGTTAATTTGATACTAATATCGATATAATTTTATCAAAATTTTATTATATCTTCAAATTTATATTTTATTTAAACATTATCGTTTTTTTAAAATCACATAAAATCATACTACAACATCGACTAAGATAAAAAATAAAATATTAAAATCAAAATATATCTCGTTGCATTATACGAGTATCGTTCTAGCTATTATAAAAAAGTTCGATATAAGCCCTACCAAACCTTTCCGGTCCACTCTTAGCTCGTGAGTTTGTTTTTGATATAAATAAATGCAATAATTTATAGAGGTTAATTTGTCGTTTTATAACAAAAAATATTGGATTTGTCGTACATGTGACTACGCGATACGTTGGATTATTATTATAAAAATATTTATTTTATAATTTAAAAAACAAAAAATAGGCCACCTTAGCTATATGGAGAATATTCAACCCATTATATTACATTTATGGTCCATATGGTTTGCAAAAAAAATTTGATTGGGTCTTTAAATGTGTTAATTACAATGAGGGTATATAAAATTTATTTTATTACGAACTAGGTCCTTGATGTTAACATTGTTAAAAGATTTCGTTAAGTGCAGACATGTCTCCTTACATGAGGTCAATGTAGTTAGGGGTGCTCATGGTTGGGTTGAAGACATTTGAACAAACCAACGCAATTTTTGAGGTTTGAAAAAATCTTAACCCAACCAAACCCAAACCGTATGGGTTG